GAAGCGTTGGTTCTGGAACGTCGTCAGAGGCATGGATGCCAAACAACGTCAGGACCTGGTGAGTGTTCGGCATCTATTCTGTTGCCTTGTTCCCCCTCCGACGGGATACGGCTGTTGCTTTACATGTTTTATTTCGTGCATTAACGCCGGATTAAGGTTAATACGCAATCGTACTTTTGACTTTATTTCATCGCAGATCTATCACGCCCCTTTGTTTAGCGCGGCGTCGGATGGTCAGGCAAAGTAGAGGGCTGGACTCTGATTTGGCGCATGAGAAAATGGAAGACACCTCTTCACTGCCTATAAGTAGACGAGTTCCATTATCTGTCCATACAATTCCCGTCCCTCATAATCTGCTGTCAGAGGGCTAGTGACCTAGGACGCTTTTCCAACAGTTCCTCCTGGTCACTCGCTGACTCACCCCTTAGTGGCTTTGCTCTCTTTTCTGGGAATTCATTTTTAGTAAAGGAGAGCTTTCGCCATCCGCTATAGAGTCAAATGACATTGGTATTTACCATTGTGTCCTGATGGCAGCGCAGAAAATGACATTTTTTGCGTTTTGCCTCTGACTTTTGAGCCTAGAGCTCTTGCAGGTGCTCGCAAACCGACGAGCGATCAGTAAGCAGACATTGCTACCGACATAGACGAGGGAAGACTAGAGTAGCTATTTCCGACTTATCTGCCGTCTGTGTTCGTTGGTGTTTTGCTTTGAAAAAATTCGGTTAGGTTGAGTGATCGCGATGTTGGAAGTTTATTTTCGAACATTGTTGGGTATTTTCTGTTCATTACTTTTATTTCTGGAACCCATACCGTCTCTTAAGGACGTCTAGGACTAATGTTCTGTAATTCATTGCACTGAGATGACTAAAGCCTATTATTTCCTACACAGGTGTTTGCTCGTTTGTCCCAATCCCTCCACACGCCTGGCCAGTGTCTGCTAGTTACGTGAACAGCCGTTTTTATATTACGCATTGATATCGGATTGGCTGTCTTGCAAGCACAGCCCGCAAGATGGCCCGTCTCGTCCGACTAGAGCTATAAGCAAGTGCTTCGAAGGTACAATTATGTTAACTGAAGCCGCGATTCCCAAGTTGGTTCTTAGAAGCCGCAACAAGTCACGGAAGTCTATTAAAAAGTGCCTATCTGCCAAATTGCCTGTTGGAGCAACTCTCCGGGTGTTTGTTTGAATTTAGGTACAAATACCCGTCGAGTTCTGTCATGTGGAAATCTCACTGTGATCAACATTCCACCAGGCTCCTAAACGATCATTTGTTGCCTCTGATATCTTTGATAAGTCGTTTTTGGAGTGGCATTTCAATGAGATGTCCATTGTTTTCTCTGCAGCTCTACTTCTGGACCTCGAGTCCTGCTCTACCGGCCAGCGCACACGGCTTCCAGCCCATGCCGACCATCACCATCCGGCCGCCTGATGACCAGCACCTGCCAACCGCCAACACCTGCATTTCCCGTCTCTACCTGCCGCTGTACTCCAGCAAGCAGATTCTGCGCGAAAAGCTGCTCCAGGCCATCCAGACAAAAGGTTTCGGATTTGTCTAGGCGTCTGAGCATCAAAGAGGACGAGTTTGAAGAACCAGATCGCGCACCCCCTGTTCTGACGGCTGCGTACTCTGACTCATGTGATTACCCTGTAAAAGTGTCAATTTCTCATAAATTACAATTACTTCGAAACTAAGGCTATTTTCTTCAGCGCAACGGCGGCTGGCTCCAATCGGCATTAAACGATGTCCTCGCCATTATAAACAGGCTGGCTTTCCGAGCGTTGGTGTTCCAAGTTGGTCGGTTAGTTCGACCGTAGCAAGCGACGTCCGCCACGGAGTGGATGCAGCATCGGTGACTAGCGCGTCAGTTGGTTTAAGGTGATAATGAACTCGCTCAGCATCTGCCGCTCTCCGTTCTCACACGCGTACCTTGCTCCGATGGCAAGAAAAGACCAAGATCACCGCAGGTGGATGTTGATGTTGTGCCCGATAAGGCTAAACAACCGGTTGGCGCAAGCCATAAACGATCTAGTCACCACAAAACGTACCAGGCTATTGCATGGACGGCACACAGAGTATCATATAGGCCTCGTCACGAAGGAGCCACCGTAGCCCGACTCTTAGTACTAAGAAGGATCGAATATTTTTATCGTCCACAACTTAGTGATGAGATTGGGCGTAGTGGCCGAAAAGGCTAGATGACCCTTCTACGCGTTTCACGCGCGACTCCGTTCCCGATTCATGCGACAGTTCGGCCATCGATTCTGACTGTCCACCGCGTGCCCCACAGCAGAATGGGCGCCCCTTTGGGTCGCCAGAAAGGATTCCAAAAGATCGGTTAGACGCAGACGTGATTTTCGTGTTTTTAAGGCTGTGGGTAGGGCGTTTTGGAAATGCGTTCAATGTAATTTACCTACCAGAAAATCAGACCAGCGTCAGTGATGGCAGGATGCGGTAACTCGACCACCTTGTAAAATGCCGTAGAACACGATGGCGCTACTAATATGGACATCGTGTGTAGCAACTGGTCGTTCATAGGACCGCAAATCAACCTTGCAACTTAGGAGAACCTCGCTTGAGATCGGCGTGTGTGGCACCATGTCGCTAATTTTAGAGCAGTCACCTTTAGTGTTAATCAAATGTCGGCTGCCATAGCAAAGAGGCCCGAAAGATTCAAGTGCGATTGACCCATGACGCAAGCACCCGATACCTGATAATGTCTCCACACTGTCAACAGACTTCACGGCTACCGAACGGTTTCATTGGACGTATCCAGACCCAGTGCATTGTCAGCGCGATCAACCCGCCTCATCTCACAACACATCGCCATTAGCATCACCAGTAAGGACTCTCCTACTATTCCGCAAAGCATACCCACCATGGAACCTACTACCAACAATGTGGCCGTAAAATCAACTTGTACCCGTTGTGACCGCATATTTCAATTGCGCATCGGTTTGTTCAGTCGCTCGTCAATCAATCACACTGAGAACGGCGAGTCGGCGCCTGGAGCCCTAGTATACACCCACATCACACGTCGCATCTGCTTAGAGTTTTCCGCGTCCGCTGGAAACTACACGGGTCCAACCGGCCATACGCTTATCCATGACAACGGAATTCATGGTTTTTCGGATCCTAGTGGCCGCTTCGACTTCAATTTCATAGTCAGTGGTGCTACATAATTTTGAGAAATACTGTTCAAGTGGGATGGGGGGGGGGAGGAGGGGGTTGAAGTTAGCTGAAGAAAAATGGTCGATGTGGGCTCTTTGTGGACAGACATACGCAATTGGGGAAATAAATATTTGGACAGGAATATACTCATAAGATTTTCAGACGGGAAGGTCCGTGCAGTCTTTTTGCGAGGCCTGAAAAGCCTCTATAGGTCTCGCCATCGTACTAGGCAAATCTTTACGTTTAAACATAAAACAAAAGTTCTATAACTGGTCGCCTGTCTGCCATGACAGTTTGACCGTTGAATCCGACGATATCCACCGTTTGGTACACAGCAAGGTGCACCAGGCACGATAACCTGCGCGTGAATTAGTTTATAGGGATAGTAGACATGCGCAGCATCTACCGCAATCCCACTCCCCATCTGGACCCGGAGTCAAGACAGTCGAGAAGACCGGAGGCGGGGGAGGGCGCGGGTGGCTGGCACGGCCGGGCCCGCACCTAGGCGTTCCACCACACTCCCTGGTCCACAACATACACTTGACCAAGATTTTTCACCAACAACAACACCCCAACAGGGGTCAGAAGGATTAGGATGACTGAGCAGCCATGCCCACCACTTGTATACCCAGCGGGAGCGCAAGCGCATCTACCGGCGGGGAACCAGATGTCAGGGAACTGGCAGCGCATACCAGGCTGTGAGGGCCATGGTTTGCTGATACTGGCATAGCAAACGCTTTCAGACCTTTTGACCTAAATGGGCGACCCGTGGCACTGCATTTATCCTCGGCCGTCACCCGTCAATGTTAGGTAACCGAACAGTCGTCGACTGAGAGGCACTACCCATAAAGCACATACACAACCACAGCTCACATGTATGAGAGTGCCACAGATCGCTTGTGAAGGGGCCATGACAGCCTGGCTCTCAGCCAACCGGTCGGCCACTCCACACAACACAAACAACTGGGCAGACTGCGTGGACTGAGATGGAGTCGTCAGTCGGCTGCCTTCCGAGTCACGATGTTTGACGCACCCTCTTTGTTACAGATTCAGACCACACAAGCAGGATAGGAGCCGCATGGAGACGGAGCCGAGACGCACACTTCCCACTTGCGCGGGAGGTAGCGGTTGGATGCTTGCGGTGGATGATGTTGATGTACGGTTATATTATCAAAATAAGTTCTCCTACACCTAAACACTACCACCAGCGTAAACAACAGTACCACCAGTGGCTCAGCAGCTATCGTCTCCTCTTGTCCTTACTGCTGCGCGGATTTTTGGCGCACATCGCCCTGATAGGTCACCTGCATATCTTTCGAACAAATACTAACGGACAAGTCTCAGAAGTCCCAACATACACTGCTGGCTCCCCACCCAAGTACACAAACTGCCCCAGGACATTCACTCATCATAGGAACCTGTTCGAATATATGCAGCTCCATGAAAATCTTCGGTAAGACATGACAGTCCTGACCCCACTACTCAACTTGGCACAGACGACTACCACAGTTTGGCCATTGATTCCGACGATGTGTCCCAGAGCAGGATGGGCGCAGGGACGGTGACTTGCGCGTGAGTTAGTTTATGGTGATAGTAGGCTTGCGCATCATCTAGCGAACTCCTTCTGTCCCAACCCTGGCCCAGTGTCATGACAGAATCAAAAGACCGGAAACGGGAGAGGGGGCAGGTGACTGACGCGGCGAAAATCCGCACCTAGGCATGCCATCATATCCACTGTTCCACCACGCACATCTATTCAGGCTTTTGCATAACAAGCAAAAAAGGGGGACATCTCGGATCCCAGTCAAGTGGGAGTGACACGAAGGTCACATGGAGAAGGCGCATTTGCGGCCCGAATCTCCGTCCTGTGAGGAGAACCTAACTATCCCGTTAGTTGGCCACCTCACAAGCCACGGCGTTTGGTGCCCTGTGATAGTGTGAATCGCGTCAGATCATACTGAGGGAAATTCGCTGACAGTCGGCCTCATTCCCTATCCTTTCCGGCACATAAGTCGACTGTACGAACGGGTCAGTCAGCTGAGGCTGACATTGGGGGAGGTTACTGACAGAGCTAGAATTAGTCCGTCTGCGCATGCCACACACATGACTTGACCCTCTACACAACTCACCAGGATTTCAGACAAAGGGGATAGACTGCTCAGATCTCGCGTGTGGCAGACGAGCCACATGGAAAATGAGCCGACGAGCACAGTTATCACTTACGTGAGAGGTACCTGCGTTAAGCCACATTGGAGGTGTCGTGTGTGATACATGCGCTGACAAGGAAGTGTGCGCCCATGGTCACCTGTGGAAATGCAGGCTTTCCGGTCAAATTTATTGTCTTGGGGACATCTACTGTCATGAACACATTCAATCCAGGTTCGACTCCTGGCACACGCAGGCCACCTTTTCAAGGGTGTAGGGATGTCCAGATGTGAGTTCACGTAACGGTTGTAGTAGGTTGCTCGCTTGCTTGCAGGTGTTGACTACACCTAGCGTCTCTTTGCTGGCACCAGCTCTCACATGTGGTTCTGGAAGCTTGGCTCAGCCTAGCGGCCACACCCCAGTAACCGCCTCGACCGTCGGACTAAACGAGGTGAGGGTATCCCTGTGTACATCTACGCACACGGTAATCTTGGCTTCGCTGGCCGGCATTGGTATCTCCGTGATGAGGCTCCATCTGAAACACAGTAGGAGGCCACAAGGTAAGTGAGCTAAGCGAACGTTGCTGTGCTGCATTTGCTTTTGTCTATTCTGCTTTTATGTGTTTGTCTTTCTGAAAGCTAAATGCTGTTCTGTTGAATTTATCTACTCACCGTTTGTATTTCAGCAGCCAGTTAACTTAGTGAGGGACGGGAAAGCTCCGCGACTCCTCTCTCTACCCTGCCCCCCATTCCCCCCTTTAAGCTTACGTCGATGCCGTAGACAGTCCCAGGCTAACTCAGGTCGCTCTCCCGTTAAACAAAAGTCGTGGCCCATAGTGGCCTTCGGCAGCCGCCTCGGATAGCTGAGCAGCCCTAATTAGCGAGAGCACTGCTTACCCCCGGGAGGGGGAAGGGGATAGAACAGGTGCCCTAAGCAAATACTGTGGACCTGCGCTGTCTGCAGGCTCAGCGTGGCCGCGGACGAAAAACTCTAGGTCAAAACAATCCAACCTGAAACAACACTCAGTCTCTTATCCCTCCTCCTCCTCCCCTACACCCCAATCGCCAGACTAGTAGTGCAAATCCGCTCACTCTAGCAAGACGGACAAGTTGGTTGCCCTTGGTAACTTCAACGCCCTCGCCGGCACAGACAATGCTGCCTGGAGAGGAGTGCTGGGTCCCCATGGTCACGATGGCTTCAACGACAAGGGCCTGCTCCTCCTACGAACCTGCGCAGAACACCGACTCATCCTGACCAAAACCTACTTCCGTCTCCCGATGCGAGAGAAGGCCACCTGTATGCATCATCGGTCGCGACACTGGCACCTGCTGGACTATATCCTCTTCCGGATGCGAAACCAGCGGGATGTACTGGTGACAAAGGCGATCCCGGGTGCCGACGGGTGGACCGACCATCGCCTCGTCGTCTCCGAGATGCGGATTCATCTCCACTCACGCAGGAGACCTCAAGGTTAGTGACCCCCAGATAAGCTGAATATTGCCGTTTTGGGTTTGTCTGCTCACTATCTCTACTTCAGCAATGAGCTAGCTCAGCGGCTAGCCGACCTTCCAGTCGCTGCCACCGCCGCCGCTGACGAGAACCCCCCCGTGGAGAACCGATGCTGTCAACTGCAAGACGCGGTCCTGTCGACGGCCCTGGCGGTCCTCGGTCGCGCACGTCGTCAGCACCAAAACTGGTTTGATGACGGTTCCGCCATCTGCAACCTGCCCGCGAAAAGAACCGCCTGCACAAAGCCTACGTCAACCGTCTCACCGACCGCAACAAAGCAGCCTTCTGCCGTAGTGGTCGTCTTGTGCAACAGAAGCTGCGGGACATACAGGACACCTGGATGGCTCGCAAAGCCGAGGATATCCAAGGGTAAGCCGGCCGCAACGAATGGAAAAATTTCTTCAACGTCAACCAAAATCACTGCACCTCTTCTCAGTGCCAAAGGAAGCACCGTACTAACAGAGAAGACAAATCCTGCAGCGATGGGCCAAGCGTTTCATACGCGTCCTCAACAGTCCCTCCAACTCCGAAACCACCATCGCCCGTCTGCCTCAAGAAAAGACCAACGTCGACGTCTACCTCCAGCCCTCTCCATGAAACCATCAGGGCCGTGCAGTAGCTCCCCAGTGGGAAAGCGCCCCCATCGGACGTGATCCCTGCTGAGATCTACAAACACGGTGGCTCTCAACTCACGGATCATCTGACTGCACTCTTCCAGGAGATGTGGCGCCAAGGAAAACTCCTGCAGGATGTCAAAGACGTCACAATCGTGCACCTCTACAAGCTGAAAGGGAACCGCCAAATCTGTGACAACCATCGAGGCATTTCCTCGCTGATCATTGCCGGGAAGCTCTTCGTTCGCATCCTTCTCAACCATCTGAACAACCACCCAGAACAGGGTCGCCTGCCGGAAAGCCAGTGCGGCTTCCGCCGTCACCGTGGGACCACCGACATGATCTTCGGTGCCCGACAACTGCAGAAGTGCCAGGAGATGCGGACCCACCTCTACTCTACTTTCGTCGATATGACGAAAGCCTTCGACACGGCGAATCGTGAAGGACTGTGGAAAGTCATGTAGAAATCCGGCTGTCTAGAGCGATTCACTCAGATGTTGCGTCAGCTCCACGATGGCATTATGGCGCGAGTCGTGCACAATGGAGCTTTTTTTATAGGCATTCGTAGTGTCCAAAGGAGTAAAGCATGGCTGCCTCCTCGCGCCTACCCTCTTTAGCCTCATGTTCACTGCCATGTTGATGGATGCCTATCGTGACGAACTTCCCGGGATCCGCGTCGCCTAAAGGACGGACGGCCACCTCCTCAATGAGTGACAGACGCACTTCCAGTCGCATGTATCCAGAACTACCGTCCACGAACTTCTGCTCGCCGATGACTGCGTCCTCAATGCAACTACTGAACGAAACACGCAAAGGAGCATGGATCTTCTCGCGGCCGCCTGCGATAACTTCGGCATGGTCGTCAACACAGAGAAGACGTTGGTCATGCATCATGGTCGGTGTGCATGAAGCAGACACAGAGACTCAACCACTTCCATTTCAGCTGTCTTCGTCGGATAATGAAACTGAGGTTGCGGGATAGGATCCCAGATACGGACGTACTGGAACGGACGGGAATCCTCAGCATCAACGTTATGCTGAGACAGCTACAACTACGCTGGAGCGGCCACCTCGCGCGGATGGACGACGAGAGGCTACCCAAACGACTCTTCTATGGAGATGTCGCGACTGGTTCACGCCGACAAGGTCAAATCCGGCGCTACAAGGATACGCTGACATCCACCTCGGAGTGCCTGCAGATCAACCCGGCCAACTGGGAAGATCTCGCCCGTGTTCGACCTACGTGGAGAACAGTGAAGACAGGCGCAGCAATTTTCGAAGCCAAACGCGAGACACCCAAATCTCGACTGCCGTCGTCGCCACCTCACAACGCCAAAGCCCAAGCACCTCCGACAACGATGTCCCCCATCAGCCTGTCGATAATAATCAATTTTGAAGAAGGCACGATCGCCAGGACAATCGATTTACTGCTGTCATTAAAAGCAGACTACTGGAACAGCCTTGGTACTCCTTGACGGCTGAGAACGCATCCCTAACAAGAAGTCAGCCGTTGTCTACCGACTTCAACACAGCTGCGAAAAAGGACGTCAGAAGCAGGCTGGTGGATGCCAATCCAGATGTACTAATACCAGCTGTCCGGAGGCTGAGACAGGGATAGGTGAACATCATAATCATGCAGACGGGACATATTTCAGTTTTGACAACGGTAACATGCGCCACAGAAGAGAATACACACAAACGCAGACTAAATGTTCCTAACCGTCAGCCGACCGCTCAGTCGACTGCAACAACAGTTTGCGTGTGCCATAACTGCCTTTGAGAATACACCTGAGGAGAGGCATTCAAGATGTGAGACCGTCTTGGGTACCACTCGTCATCATGGTGTAGCGGTAAAGGGTATCCGATAAACTCTAATCATCCCGTCTAAAAATATAGGCTGGAGAGCTGAAAGTTAATGCTATTCTGTACACAGGGAAGCCTGCTGTGAATCTGTAGTTGGCATGTGGGTTAGAACAATTTCCTGTTCGAGAACGCAATTTTCGTGTCTGACACGTCCGCGTCAGCATGATTAGTCGAGACACCTGTGGTGCGATTGGTAAGCCCGCTGGTTTGGTCGGGGGTGCACGATCAAGAAGCACCAAAGGACAAGTCACGCCGCGTGACTTGGATAGCTCAGGCCAACTGTCGCAACAAGGAAAGCGGGTAGGAGGAAAGAGGTTCGATGGCAATAGTAATTACTGAATATATGTGAATTCATTTACAGAGGTATAAACACTCTTGGTCTAAGTTTGTTAATTAAACAAAGACAAAGTCATAAAAGAAGGCGCAAAAGATAATTGCGACAAGAGTTATAATTGGGGTGAAAATACGCGACGGCAAGCTAGTAAACTGTTTTGACGTTCTACTCAGAGCGGGTGAGTCGGCACAACTCCTCCTCCAGGTCCTCGAGATTGCGTTTCAGGCCGGCAATCTCATCAGTCGATCGGTTGGCAGCCCGAGCCTGCAGCAGGTAGTCAGCGACCTGATCGATCTGTCGCATAAGGACGAGGCGGGCCTCGTTGGTCTCGGTAATTGCTGCCGTCTCCGCCTCCCTCACAAGCTCATTGGAGACGACGACAGTGGCGGAGGGAACCCAGCCCTCCCGCTTCTGAACAGGCCGCGAGCTGCTATAGGGCTGAGGCTGCAAAAACAGGGTTAGAGGCGTAAGTTTGGTCACGTTTTAACGTCTTCAAAAGGCCTTAAGTGACAAATAGTGTTAGCGCAAGGAAGGGGAGTACAAGATCGACGGAACAGTAATCGTACTTGTTGTGGTATCGACATGTAGAGGATATGCGCGCACTGCCCGGTGCCGCGGTCCCGTTCCGTCGACAACGAATGTGGTCGATGCGCCCGCTGCAGGCTACACATTGCCTAATGTCCTCAAAGCGAGAACTCAACAGAGTCGAATACTTGAGTCTAAGACGCTTGCGCAAGTAAGGATGGGAATTATTCGAGCGCGGCACGTAGCCGTTACTTGGCTGGCGGTTCCGGTTCAGACTAGTCTCCTTTGAATGCATGACATATTAGCTTTTGCTAAGACGAACGATTCTCGCTCGGCAATATCCAAGAAGGCGTACGTTCTGGCTGAAGTTTCAAGTGAAGTTCAGCCTCTATGAAGTAACCGAAAAGAGTTTTTCCTGTTAATCAATGTCATTATTCCCAATGAAAGATTTTGAATCGGGTAGTACGATTGTGGATTTCGATCAGGCGCTGTGACGCCTGTAAAAAACGAATCCCACTTCTGTGTTTGACAGCCTTACAAAATAGTTGAGTTCTCACAAAGTTTTCTCCAATTACGAGATCGCAGGGAGAGCAAGGCGCCTCGATGAAAAAGGCAGTGAGTTTGGAGTGTTAGGCAGTTGCCTAAAATAACTGCATGAATAACTGATCAGAAGAGGGAAGGTCTGAGTTAGAGAAATTCGGGTCATTGTGTTTTTGAGCGGCGGTTTGAGCAATTATGTATATTTCAAGGAATTTCAAGTTAAGGTGCAATAACTTAGGTTTTGACTAGGAAGTCAATGATACTCCAGGCCAGTATGTACTTGCACACGGTAGAATTTACAGTCTCAGGGCATAACGAATAGGGGGGTATGGCGAGCAGCTCACTGAATAGGACTGTGTCAAGGAATCGGCGCTTTCTGTGGCCCGAAGGGTTTCAGACAGACGGCTACTTCGCGTTTCGACCAAACGCCGATATTCCTCCTCCGTCGGAAGGGCTCGAAGCGGATGAAGGCGGGTCTGTACGAAACGACGCGCAAACTTGGCCACTGACTGTGCCAAGCGTCGCTTAGCCGGTGTGGGACTCTGCGCGGAGGCAACGGCCAAGGAGTCTTGCTGCACCTCCAGACCGCCGATTTCCTTCCTGTAAAAGTTGTACACAAAAATAACGTGGGGTGGCCGTTTGGTTTATTGGACGGAAAAAGTGCAGACTGGCACTGTACTTGAAGCATGCACATAACGATCAGAGAGTGTGTGGTAGGTGTGCACGGGGGTTTAGGTCGGATCAGTCACTATGATCAGGTTCATCTCCGGCCTCCTTGACCTACTCATAGGAGAACATAGTTAGGTCGATGTCATGCATGCCTTCCAGACTAAGTGCAAGTGAACAAGTTTCCTGTGGGGTGATAGTGATTCTTATCCTTTTTGACGGACAAACTGCCCTGTTCGCGGGCGATGTGAATGGCAGAGGTCCAGGGTAATAATGTCGCTGATAAAAATGAAGGTGATTTTTTATTTGTCCAGACTCAGGTTATCACTTTGCTAATAGAAAACTGCCAGAAGGCATTGGGCTGGCAAAAAAGCGGAGTTCAAATGACTCCTACTGGTCGATATAATCTCTAAGTTTTAAACCGACTCGGCGTGGGTGCCTCGCCATCTCGTAAACGACAAATCACGGGCTGTGCAGTCGCTGTGAAACCAAAAGATGTTGACGCGGAAGTTGAAAAACTGGCCATAAAACAAATGATGTCCGCGGCATGCAGAATCCATTACCCGGCATATTAAATTATATGCCGGAAAAGGCATGAGCTACGACACAATCTCTATGAGCTAACATGCGTCTTGGAGGCTATAGATTGAGAAATTCGACAAGGAGTAGAGACATCACTTTTCTGATTTTTCGAAAAGCATTAATCTGATTATAACGCTCTTTTTAAATTGATTTCCCTTGTCATTGAACTACTAGTGGACTGCAGTTGCTTCACTGGTCTAAAAGTCACAAGCATAAAAATGCTCGCATCGAGACTTACCCTAGTGCATCCACTTTTTGAAGACTTTGTAAAAGTTCAAAACGCAGTGCTTTGGCCATTTCCAAGACGTATTTTTCTTCACCGGAACTGAAAAAAATGGAAAGACCTGGAATCCAGGATTGAGCAACAAACTGGACTCATTAAGACCAAGACGGCAATTATGAACAGGGAGGAGTTACGGACGAAATGTACGGCCCCCAGCAAGTTAAAAATTTAAGCAACTGAGTTGCACTCAAGCATGTTTGACGGATTAGACCACCTTCGAGGTCACGAAACAAGATACATCCAAAAGAGCGGACTTTGATGCACAACTTCCATGCGAATTAGTCTTAGAGGTTCATTATTGAGGCTGATGTTGGCGATGTGTGCTATGCGTCAGAATATTCCATATAAAGGTGTAGTTAATAAAGCAGAAGTGGTACCATCAAACAATATGACCTAGAACGACAATTTCCGGTTAATTTACCATCACCAGACAGCTTCACTTTAACTTAGGGCCAGGAGGACTTAACTTAGTGCTAGAAGTACGGTGAACAGTAAATAGTTGCATACTACTGACTGCCTGTCAGCAGGATGTACATACTAAGTGGTCATTCAGCCCAAATAACCATGCCCACTTGCAAACCGAACCCAAGGCTTGTGCTGAATAATTTGCTTCAAGTTCACGTATTAATTTCTGCGGAGATTAAAAAATATTTGCATCAAAAACCGGAGAATGCGAAAGAAGGCACATGGGTAGCATAAGGAGACCCACTGATGAGCCAAACCCCACGCGGCTGCACCACGCTCAACAAAAACAGGCATCCATAAACAAACTGACAATCTTGAAAAGAAATACTCACCTCTAACAAAGCTAGCAGGACATACGGCTTGCGGTGGGCCTCAATGGGGGAAAGTAGACAGTACACAAACTCGTAGTTAAAAAAAAAACTAATTCGAGAAAACCCAAAAATAAGTGCATCCCGGAGTCCGACGACAAGAGTTGCAATCAGTCAAAACAAGTCATTTAGAAATTGGTATGCGACAGTGTGGTGGTTTAAAAAATATTTCTCCAGTTTTGTGGCAAGAATGCGTCGAATACGCCCATACTGAACAGGCTTATAAACAGTCTCGCCATTCACGATAGTGAGCGACACACGTTCAGATTTTTCTGAACAGAGATCAGGGTCAGTGACATGGGGAGGGGGGTGAGAAGACCAGTGAACCAGTGGTTAACATTGAGAGGGCGTGGGTGTTGAGTGCATGTTAAGCAAACGCTGTAAGGAAGTCAGTAATGCCAGTGCCTAGTGTATATACACTGTTAACCGGGGACAAAGGAGGCACAAAACTTACTTCAGACTGTCGGCCATGGAACTGTATAGGGGCATTTTCTCCTCGACTTTGTCCATCTCCACTTTGAGCGACTAAAATTTGATTGCAGCAACCAAAACGCAAAATTACCAAATTCGACTCTTAGATAAAAAGCGCTCATCATGCATATGACGCATAGATTGATAACTCAGTTAGGATAAGTCGTTAAGTTACTCTACGCTCTGTTGTAACTGGAAATGAGAGTGAGCTTAGCGCCCTCAAAAGACTACAAAGACAGCGAAGGAAATGTAAGCTGGACCAAAACTTTGTCGAGTGTCCTTCTCAAGCGCGCAAGTGGGTGCAAATGCCCACTGTGATCATCTAGCCGTTAGATTTTAGGGTGAGAAAGACGTATTTAAAGAAGGTCACAATGTTCGTAAACAGACAGTGCAGCGACCGCTACCTGGTAGAGCCTGACAATCGGCGGAATGGAGTGGTACTCCTGCACTTGCTGAAGCTTTAAGTCCAAAAGAGATTTGCACACCTCGCATATGCGCAGACTGTAACCTGGAAAAGGAAAGGAACCATAAGTATCATTGTCATCGCAGACCGAAACAGTCGACGCCAACAATGTTAGAAGGGCACTCACTGATCGTGTTACGGAACTCACTCGGCCCGTTGTGCCTCGGGGCTCTCTCTCGAGCTCCAACAGCCAAACAGCGGCGCGTACTATAGGCAGAATGACATTACTGACAAAGACAAAGGAGACTGGGATGGCCATTTCTGGCTCATTAGCCGTCGTCAGCCATTAATACGTAACCCCGAAGTGTGGAACACCTGGGACTCGATCCCGCGACCTGTCAGTTAGAGGTCAAAGGCCTCTAACCACTGAGGCACGGGCTCGTTGTCTTGTATGTTGCGAGCGGGAATACACACTGGTAAAGGGGGGAAGGGAGAAGCACGGATCGTGTTACGAGTGAGCGCTACGGAAATCACTCGTTTATTGTAGTTGAAGAAATTCTGTGGAGTCTATTGGCTCCCTGGGCAAATGGCTGCTGAAGCTCTAGGACGCGCCTGTTTGCACGAGCGTGTTTTTTCCCTCCTCTGTTAGAGTTGGATGTCATGAAGTGAAACTCTCAGGCTACGTTACGACAAGGCGCTGTGTAATTGTCCTGAAAAAAGAGGAAATTTCAACCCTCTTCAGTCCTTAGGATTTGCCTGCACGAGGAAAGTGCGCGAACCAGAATTTTGGATGACGAGACCGCCACAACAGAGTCCTGGCTCTTCGTGTTGACGGTCGGGAACAACAAATCCAAATAACCAGAATCCTAAACAAACCCCTGCCAGTTTAATAGTGGTCACCTGTACGTAGGATAGGCATTACACTGTTATACAGACTCAATCAAGGTGACTTCATGACCTCCCAAAACCATAGAAGATCTAACGTCATATTTTGCTGCCGCAAACTCCCACACATCTCCAATCGTAGAACGGAACCCGTTGTATGTGATCCAACAATCACTTAGGGTCTGCTCAAGTATAAATTTATTTCACAGTGCGCAAACTCGTTCAAACACTGTATTCACAGATAACGCGACTTAACGTAAGTCTGGCGACAATGCGATTTTCAGATCCACTTTTCCAACTGGTAGGGGGGGGGGTTGGCAACTACATTCCCACTTACTCACCCCTGTTACTTTTGGTTGGATTGCCGTTCAGACTGGTCACGCTAGAGGAGTGGGAGAGGACAGCAAGGCGGTCTTTCGGCTGGGACGGGGGCGACTTGGAGGCTAGATCAGCTTTACCAAACTGGCTGAGGCCCAGGAGATCGGGTAGACGGTGGGTCTTGAAGCCGGGCGACGACGCCAGGTGGGAAGTGGCAGCGAGGAAGTGTGCTGACTCACTCTTGGACAGAAAAAGAGAGCAGTCTGCGCATATTATGTGTCCACAGAGACGACAGTGATGTTTGCGACGAAAGACTGGGTTCGAATCGATGAGAGCTGTTGCGAGACGGGCAGCGGACTTGAAGCTCTGTTTCATCCGCGTACGGACGGGAGGTGAGCGGCAGGTGTACGCGGGCGGAGAAGTGTTATTGGCCTCATCGGTTGGCCAGCTGAGACCAAAGGCGGCGCCGCAGCGCGGACACAGATCAATGTCAGCTTCAATCCAGGGGACGACAGCTTGTTCCTGAGCTGACTTATTAGATGTGTGGACAAACACTTACCGAGGCGTTGAGCAGAATCAACTGTCTCTAGGATTGCGGTAAGTTTTTGAAGTCGAATTAGAAGGAGGTTGATTTCGAGAGCTGTATTGTCAACGTGAATCCGACGAAATCGAAAAAACTCGGCTGTTCTGTCGCAAGCGAGACCTAGGGGTGTGAAATGGGCAATAAATTGGACCGAAAGGGTAGGAAAGTTATCAGACACCATTCACGACGTCGGCGTGTGTATTGAAATAATGTTTCAAGACTCAAATTTAAGGCTTAAGTCTTGTGTAAGTGACGATATCCTAAAAAACAAACTAAGTGAGAAAATATGTCGGTAACTGAAGAACACTGGGATTGCGCTCTGGTAAAAAAGGATGAGAGTGACTTGAAGATTAAGTACAGAAAATATTACGCAAATTGCCAAGTGCCCACATATCAGTATGATCTTTGATTGCCTTCTAGCGGTAAAAAAATTAAATATACAGTTGGAGACCTTTGGTTCATTGAAATTAAAGTATACGAGGAAGCTGATGTCGGACTATATTACCCAAACTGTCATCCGTGCTTTAATCAGCATGTTAGAGAAAGCTTAGAGACAAATGAGAATAGGGATCAAATTCTGCAAAGCAAAATGATTGAAGATCGCTTAGTATCAGAAAGAAACTTGACTGATAGAAGCTTCTGAGGTTTTTTCTTCGAGCTTACTTCCTAAAACGGCATGAGGGTGTGCTTAATGCACGGTTCGATGTCAAGGAATGTTGTAGGGGGTTACGTGGGAAAGGGGAGAGGAGATTAACTCTGCTGAGCAGATAGTCGCATCAAGCACCCTGTTTAATGAGGTCACTGGTCTGCCCTGTATTAATCTCCAACCAAACTTTCATCCGTTTCCTAAAAAATCTACGCACACCATGATAACCGTCTCCAATCAGCCGACGGGCTCAATCAGATGAGGACAGTCGTCATGTATAGTCTGATTCGGACAGTACGAGGACAGCCGATTTGTGACATGAGAGACCAGAGCCTAATGTCAGGTAAGTTGATACTCCATACTTCATAGCCAGTCTCGGCATGGTTTCGGCGACAGATTAAAATGGGGCTGGGAAGAGAGAGTATGGACGATGTTACGTAAGAATTCTTCATTACAATTCGACTAAAGCGCAGGTCATCTTTATCACAGTGGTTGTGTAAGCGCGGGCTGCAAAATTGCGTCTGAACTATGTCCAACTGCGACCATACAATGAAAGTTGAAGTATCCATCAACGTCACGGCGTTGCAGATTCGCCGGGTGGAGTAACATGCGGCGCAGGTATTTATCTGGAAAGGGGGTTTGCTCGTTGTAGCCATGCCGAGTAGATTACCATAGGCGCACTTTGTAAACAAGGTCTCCCGTAGCATGATACTGGACGTATCTGCTGACGATTGAGCTATAAAGACAAAAATCGAAACAAATGTTCAATAGAACCTAAGTCATCCCCTATTCGATGTACTAAACTCGGGCTGACCATCAATGAGGTGAAAACAGTGGCCGCGTATTAATTGGAGTTAATCGTAAAGTGCATCTAGTACACGGTCACTGTCCATAACTAGCGTGTTATTGCTGTGAAGCAAAAGCACCAAGATTGGCGACGAAATTACAGCCGAGATCTTCAGAATTATTTAGACACTCGGCAGGCTATAACCCTTATCCTGAAACCACCTTGTCTAGACAACCTGTCTAAATCGAGCGACAAAACTCAACCACATCCACGTAAGTCTTCATTGGAGGATAACACGAGTAAACTGACAGAAAAGGCTCTCAGGCATTGGAGTCCCGAAACTGATTAGCATACTTAGCATCTTCGAGACCCTGAAGCAGGTTGATGTCTGACTTATTAGCCGAGTCATGGGGACGACTGATGTGCGTCTTCAAACAATATGTGAGGCTGATAGTTCTAAAGATGCTTGCTGCGGGGACGATCGAACCTACGAGGACACTTTTGAAATCGGGCTGAAATGTCACGGGTTCAGCCCGAAGACCTGGAAAACCATAGCGCAGGGGCTTCAGGTATGATGATTTCCTGAAAAACTGGAATGGTAATACTTGAAAGCAAGTGGAGACTGGCAGACACAAAAGCGCGAGCATGTCAGAATGAAATAAAGCGAACAGAACATGCTGACACACAGCAACTCATGTGTCCACATTCCAAATAAGCATTTTGGGCTCGAACGGACCTTATTAGAAGCCCCAACACCCGCCGAAGTGTTCCCGCCACCAATCCTCCCATTACGCCACTGGAGGAATAGCATCGAAGGAAAAACTGATCAAATTTTTAGGTCTTGATTTGCTCTTATCGAACACCTCTGTATTCATCGCAACACACAAGGGCGTGCAAGACAAACGCCATTATTGAGATAGCCTGACTCCACTACGACCATACACTACAATAACGTATTAGTTTGATTTGCCACCCTGTGCACTTACTACGGTGCGAATGGGTGTCCGTTGACCAGTCCATACTGATTCGGGCATTCAAGCACAGCACTAAGTTATCTGAACATCTACAATCGTACTATGGCGACCACTAAAACACCTCGGTATAGCATCCACTGTGGCGAAGTTGGCCGTCGTCAATTACGACGGCAGAACCATCGAGTCGAAGCTTAGTTACATTTAAATGCGAACAAAAAGGAACATTCTACATGGTTAAACGTTTAAGACAGCAAGACCGGACTGCAATGTACAAAAGGTTGAGGCATTACCTACGGCCGCGCGCTTGAAGGGCTGTAGATCATGATCGCGCTTGGCAGATGCTGGGCGAATGTGCTGAATTCTGAAGTGTTCTTCGAGCAGTTCAGCTCTTCCATACGAACTAAGACATGAAGGGCAGATGAAACCCTCGATGATCGCCTCCTCCACATTGCAGCCGTCGGGGGTCATCAAATTTTAGGCGCAAGAGAAAACGGTCGGGTAATGTTTCCCATGCGAAAATGTTATAGTTGGGCAGTAGGGTATGCGAGACCTGTATCAGAAAACCGCGTACCAGAAAACGATCTCGTAAGAATAGATTTACGGTCGGAAAATCACATTCTATTCTAATAGTAGCAACAACAAACTCCACGTTGACGTGTTACTACATAGCGGAAGTAAAGGGGAAGAATTTGAAACCCTGGTCAAGGGCTAGTATAAACGAACTAAACAGGCATTCAAATTTGAACAGGTGATGAAAACGAGAGCTTGTAAATTGTCTACGTTGCCGGGGTACAATTCCGCAATCAGTACCGCATCCTAGGGTGGCCTAGGAGCTCCTAGGCCATTTCCTGATCGTCAAGTGATCGCCAAGAGAATTGCAAATCCAATAACAATAATCCAACTACTGATGATGAGCTTAAGGCTGACGAAGAAAATATGAAGTGTGATGACAATGTAGCTGCCTAATTCAGGAAATCAAGGGTATGTGGAAACTAAAAAAGCGGGTAAAAATGACTTAGTAAACGCCTTATGCTTCATGGTTCATCATGGGTTTCCATACAAAACCGTTCCTGACGGTTTAGTTCTCAACTTCCCCGACCAGGAGACCCAGCGTGAGTCACAGGTATTATCGCATATCTTATCCGTAGTTTTGTCTAGTCCCCAAACTGAACTTATGAGTGGGATAAATTAAAACCTATTTAATTAGTTCAAGACAGGTGTCCAGTTGTAGGTTAACCTGATATATCAGGTTAACCTACAACTGGACACCTGTCTTGAACTAATTAAATTATAATTATAATTATCAGGAGGAATTTCTGCGTGTTACTTGGCATACAATTACTCGATTTTTATGATCCACAACTTACTGACTAGATAGGTGGGACTTAATTCTCATTTTCAAATCTACGAGGTGTTAAATATTCAACTGTTAGGATATATCCTAAGATATCCGATAGTTCCACATATTTTGCAAAAAAACATAAGTAGGAAAACGCTAGATCGCCAAATATTACAAAACAACGATCGGAGTCAATTGGGATAGTTAACTAATTGACTTGAAGTGGCTGTGCCTGTGCAGAAGAAACTGCCACGACATTACGGAGAAACGGCAAATATGACATGTATAGCTGAACAAAAAGGCCGGTGCTATCACACACCAGTTTTGAGTCCGGCCACCGCCCCTGTTATTCTATTGGTTTAATACGACTAAAAGTTAAAGGACAGTGCATGTACCGAACAGGGTAAGGCAGTACGGGGCTTATCTGTAACAGTCGGAGATCTGACCAGGGATCCGACCTTGAGGTTTGAATGGACTACACTACTACTTTCGTTTTCCCTTGCAGAGTCTACGCTCCGAAAACCTCGCGCCGAAAATTAACTGTCAACACACTGATAAGTCGTTCTGTCATATTCTTCCGTTTTTACGTTATCTCATTATTATATTCCCATCTTGCATATTACAATAAACTTATATCGTTTTGTCATTTCCGTTGTCTATATCATGTCTCGTACGCCTGTACCCTCCTCTACCACACATTCTGAAGTACAAGGTATTTTAGACCGACTTTTCCAAGCGGCCGGATCATCTGAATTCAAGCTCCCCTCTTCTCCTTCCTTCTACGCACGTGGCCCGACGTCTACTACCCGCTCGGTCGCTACAATCTTCACTAGAGGTTGGGAAAGTCGGCTGAGAAATGTCACAGGATATCGTAAATGTAGTCCCTTCGAAAAGGCTGGTTAGTTCTAAATGCAAGTCAGCGGGGGATCTGTGGGGTTCGGATATGACAAATCTGTGTAAAATGATGATCGTGGAAATATTTATTCTCAGTCTAGGTGGCCAAATAGCAACCTAAAGGAAGGCATTAAAGGAAAGCAAAAATTGCGGCGAAAATACTGCGTCACTGGGCAAGTTGAGTATTTCAACACCTGCACGAAACAAAGAAACAAGCCGCGAAGCATGATTATAAAGACGAGCTGAGAGTTCGCGAAAAGTTTGCTACGAAAATCAACACAGAACCCAAAATTACTCTATAGCTACCTCATTAGAATTACAAGGAACAGACACTAAATCCCCTCAATAAGAAGCAACGGCGGCGTTGGGATTTCTGATAGAAGGGGTAAAGCCGTATATTTTTCGCAGTTTTTCCAATCAATCTACATAAACGAGACAAGGTTCCTTCCTTAATCCACAGAACTGACGATTCCAAGCATAATTGTTATACCTTTCTCAGAACTTGTTGTCCGAAAAGATCTAGAGGCACTGAAAGAGTCGAAGTCGCCAGGACCAGACGAGCTTACACCCAAGATTCTCAAGGAACTTGCTAATGCGCTTTTTGTGCCTTTGTCGATGCTCTGTCAAATGTCACTTGCTACTTAAACACTTATTATCGATTGGAAGCTGGCGCATATTACTCCACTATACAAAGGAGGCAGCGGGGCATCGACGGCAAATTACAGGCCCATAAGCTTGACATGCATTCGCTGCAGTGTTATAGAGAGTATCCTGAAGAGTGTATTGAGGCACTTCCAGGAAGTTCACGACTTGCTATCGAACTGCCTACATGGGTTCCGGAAAGGATGATCCTGCACGATAAACTTGTTGCAATCTCTCCAGTGCTGGACAAGTGCTCATAATGACAGGGTCCACATAGCTTTATTGAATTCCAGAAGACGTCCTACACTGCGTCACGCCAGAGACTGTTACACAAGCTGAAAAAATGGGGGTCAGGGGTAACTTCCTTAGATAGATCGAAAACTTCCTTGTGGGTCAACAGCTGGTTATGTGCATCGGTCAAGGAAAATCAGATCCTGCTGTGGTCGAGATTAGTGTTCCCCAGAGGTCAGTACTGGGACCGATTTTGTTCCTAGTGTACCTGAACAATAGAGCAAGAGCTGTGCACTGCGAAGTAAGAATGTTTGCCGACGACATGAAGGCGTGGAGCCCCAGCGACGAAGACAGGTTGCAGATGAACCCGAGTCGGTTGAAAGAGTGATCGAACAGTTAGCTCGTACGGTGTAACGTTGGTAAATATGTCATATCTCGCCTAGGCAACACAGACAGATCCTCCAGCACGAGAGACTACTTTCTGAGCGTTGCAGCATTACGAGACGTCGAAGTGCAAAAGAATCTCGGCGTGATGACGAAGAACTCGCTGTGATGGGACTCCGACAGGCCTTTAGTAAAAAGTATTTATTTATTCATTTAAACCATCCGCTCATTGTTCGACAGGGGAGGAGTGCAATATCCGTACTGTACGCCATCAAGCGTGCGTTTATGGATTTTGACGAAGACGCTTTCTCAAAGACATTACAAGTGCGGCCGCACTTGGCAAACGGCATACAAGACTGGAGACAGTGGGCGGTTCAAGATCAAATTTGCCCCGAAAGAGTTCAGAGGAGAGTCACGAGGATGGTTAGGGGTGAAAACTCCTTTCCTTATGTTACCTGCCTAGTAAATCCGAACCTCTCCCCCTTGACGATAGGCGCTATAAAGATATACGAAAAGAGATGAGTACAAACTACCGAGCTAAACTACAATAACAAACCAGGTAAAAGTGCACAATGAGATGTAGTGGATGACAGGTTTGATCGGTAGAAAAATGGTTAAATGAATAACGGGACTTAGCGAGCGTGCAGCGATGTAGCGATCACCCTGTGTATTTGCGGCGTAATTCTGAAAAAGTAACTGCGTAAGTGCTACCCGTTTGGCCTTGTACGGATGACCGCGCAGATAACTTATGTTCTTGAACTCAAAGAAATCCTCAAATTTGAGGGAATAATCATGCCCGGAATAATGCAGAATGTCCATAAAAGATCACACTCCATTTGTCTATAGGATAGGGGGAACAAAGTGAGCTGGGTCAGTCTTTCTGTATGTGACAGTCGTAAGACCGTCCACCAGTTTGTCGCCCGTCGTTGTACGTGCTCGACGGAATCACTGTTTTCTTCATCGAGGGCATCCATGCTGGCATTCCGTATTCCAAGTGCGGTCCGACGAACGTACCTAATATCTGCACGAATGGTTAAGGAGGAAAGACTACGAAGGCACGCCCAATCCAGTACATGATGCTGGTTGCTTTTTGGGCGGCTCTTCTACAGTGCACGGAGGGCAGCAAGTTTGAACTTCTCCAGACACATACGTCGTTGTGCATGTCCACTTCTTCTAGTAGAACTCCATTCATGGGATACCGGGGTTTTGAGGAGCGCCTCTGACCAGATTCTGCGCGCAAGACTGCACATTTCGATGCAATAAGCACTAGAAGTCACTTGCTGAACCATGCAGTCAACTTATCAACATCTTCCTGTAGTTACTGTGCGTCCTCAACACAGGTGATTGTTTTCCAGATCAGTATATCACCAGCACACATGAAGGCATCACATTCAAGAGATACCATACAGTCGTTTACCTAAATGAGAAAGAGGAGAAGACCCAAGACGGAACCCTGTGGAACGCCGCTTTCGACTGGTATTAATGACAGGAAAATTTAATCCACTTAAAAGGCTGTTCTGTTTTAGAGAGGGAACATCCCAATATAGATAGGGAACATCCCATTATCTCCTACTCAGATAGATGCCAGCTAATTAACCTAAAATTTTTATGGGTTCGAAGACTAGAAGCGGGCTTCTGTCTCCTCTTTCGCATTAATCATAGTTCAAATTTTCCTCGGATTTCAACACATACCCCTAGTAGTCGCCCATACAATCTTCGCAACTCGTCTCTAATTATACCTCCTCCAGCGTCCTCCACCTCTAAGCGCTCCCTTTTTTTGCTTCCAGGTATACTTTCCTCTGGAATAACCTTCCAATAAATATAAGATCTTCAGAAACTCTACACACCTTTAAGAGAAGGCTACGCCTTTATCTGAATACTGACTCGATTAAACTTTTATTTTCCTCATCCTTCTCATCCAACTTTTTCTATGACACCGAGAAAGGGCCACCGGGAATTTAGCATGCCGCTATTAAAT